CCCCAAAACCCCAAAACCCCAAAACCCCATGAGAATGAAATGAGTATTAAATATAAGTAATCGATAAATAAATTAAGCATTAAACATTCAAGTAATCTTAGAAATGAAGCTAGACCCAGATCTCATTCACTACCTCACTAAAGAGCACTTCAGAGTTCTAACAGCCATAGAAATGGGTATGAAGAACCATGAATATGTACCAGTACCCCTGATAGAATCTCTTGCAGCTTTGAAAAGATCAAATACCTATAAAATCATTTAGTTATTGCTCAAGCACAAGCTTGTCATGCATTACAATAAGTCATATGATGGCTATGCTCTAACCTATATGGGCTATGACTACTTGGCTCTAAAGGCCTTCATGAAGAGAGGCACCCTTACTAGAGTTGGTATTAAGATTGGAGTAGGAAAGGAATCTGATATTTACCTCTGCGAAGGAGGAGTCAAGGAGGAAGATAAAGATGAAGAGCCAGTCAAAGGAGAAAGGTTCAAGAACCCAGTAGTAGTGAAGTTCGCTAGACTTGGTCGTACCTCATTCAGAACAGTCAAGAATAACAGAGACTATTTGAAGGGAAGATCTGCTTAGAGCTGGTTGTATTTGTCTAGAATAGCTTCACTGAAGGAATTCGCATTTATGAAGGCACTTTATAACAAGAACTTCCCCACTCCAGTGCCCATTGACTCCAATAGACACGGAATAGTAATGTCCTTTATAGATGCCTATCCCATGTCGTAGATCAAGGAATTGGAAAATCCAAAGAAGGTGTATGCAGAACTTCTCGAGTAAGTAATCAGATTGGCAGAGTATGGCTTGGTTCATGGAGATTTTAACGAGTTCAACTTGCTTTTAGATGAAGACGAAAAAATTACTATTATTGATTTCCCATAGATGACTTCAACCAATCACCCATAAGCACAGTTTTATTTTGAGAGAGATGTCAAGTGTCTCTAGGATTTCTTTATGAAGAGATTTGGACTTAAGTTTGAGGGTATCCCTATCCTTGAATAGGTATGACTTCATAATAATGAAATAATTGAAATAATAGGATATCGAGAAAAAAGAAGACTTGGATAAGGAAATAAAGGCCAGTGGTTTTGTCAAGGAGGAACTTGGAGATGATCTTAAGGAATTCGATCAAATTGTATGTTACCATTAATATCTTCATTAAAATGTAGCATGAACATTTCTTAAATAAAGAAGAAGTTGAAGATGAGGAAAGCGAAAGCGATGATGAGGAGGACATTGAGGAGGAGAGTAAACAAGAGGATGAAGAGAAAGTCCCTAAGCTAATCAATAATAATACAACAGTAGACGTTAACGAGGAAGAAACAAAAGAGGAAATCATTAATAAAGAGTTAGAGAGTTCAAGCGACAATGATAACGAAAGTGAAGAAAATCAGGAGTATAAGAAAAGCAGACCTAAAAAAGAGAAAAAGGATAAGACTGTTGAGAAGAAAAAGAAAGAGAAGCTAGTCATAAATGAGGATTATGTCAAGGAGAAAGCAAAGAAACAGTTCAGTAGCAACTTTAAGAAGGAGAGGTCAAAGAGAAATAAGAACAAAGACAAGAAAGTTATGAAGGCTAATGAAAATATAAAGGATTACTTTGTAGAATGAATAATGACTTGAGTTGAGAAACAGTGTAATAATTTGACTATTTATTGTTTTAATTAATGAAATTAAGGTTAATATCATCAATCTAGTGATTCTAATTTTTAAATGATTTAACAATCAATCAATAAATTTGACATCCTTTAGACTGGCCTTTGAGAGCATCAGCTTGCATTTTATTTATTTCTCTCAGATCATCTATCTCTTCATCTAACTACAAATCCTCGATTCTATGAACAATATTATTGGAGCTAAATCTTACCTCGCATGAATATCCTAGCCTTCTAAAGCTTTAAGATGAATTGGTCTTTCAGCTTTTGGATCATAATTCCACACATAAGCTCCTTGTATATTTGGATCTTTGTGCTTTATAGGCTTTCCTCTAAATAGGTTATACTTGTCATATTAGCTAATGAATGGGAAAACCTATCTTAAATTCTTAGAAATCAGATCTTTTCTCTGATAAAATAAAATGTATGCATATTGACTTCTCACTTTAGATTCGGGAATGTCCTTCACAGACGAGTCATCATAAGAAACCCAGTTATTTGTTTACAAATTTTTAACTGCTGATGTATAATGCCCTCTGTTTATTGTTCCAAAATGATTCTTTAGTAAATTAAAAATAAAAGTAACTTACCACAACAGCATATAAATCGTACTTAGTTGACATATCATTTTGGCTTTAATCTTAATTCGATAAAGATAGGTACTGACTTAAATCAAGATCATAAAGTGGGAAAATCACATTCTAGTTAATTTTTCTCTTTTCACTCTCTAGCACTTTAAATCTTTTCAATTAGATAATCAATATCGGGGGAAGCATTGACAAACTAGATTGAATATGATGTTCAGTGAATGTAGTGCATTTGCTGCAGTGCATGCCAGCATCTTCTGAAATAACTTCGACCTAGTTAAATAGCCTGAGACATTCACTTAGTTATACATCCTAATATGGTTCGTATGTAGGAGTTTGCTAACCAAAATAATCTACTGGCTTGAAATTGTCTAGCTAGACATACTTGTCTAAGAAGTTATGATTCCAATCTATTGCTATAAATGATTTACTTTGAAGACTTTAGTAAATATTTTCATCATCTGGCATCACTAAGCAGCCAAAGCACTTTAATGTCCAGTCACAATGAGAGCACAACTGATATTCACCTTAGAATTGATTCTTAACATACTTTAACACGAACGGACTTAACTATTGACCCATGTTTGCATCGTATTCTTTGTTGGTCCACCAAAGATTGTATCTATCCTAGGTCTCTTTCATCAAAGAAAGATTGAGCAGAAATCTTGATTTCATCCAAATTTCCTCATAGAGCTGTCTCCCTGTCGTAGAACTATTGGCCATGATGATGAATGGATGTCCGAATCCAGCCACTCTATGTTCTTTCAAGTAGTAAAGATTTTCCTTGATAATCTTTCTATTCATGCACACAACTATGAACTCATTTGGCTATCTTAGATCAATCTTTGATTGACCTAACAATAATTAGATTTAGTATCATATAATATTATAACAAGTGGATACTTACCCATAAATTACAGCTTTTATTGTACAAAGAAATCGATATGATTGATAGTTCTAATCACTTGTTATATCATCATACCCTCTTCTTGATTTGAATCTGCAACATCATCACTTATGTTTTCATTTCTCTCGTTCGTGTCTAGTTCCATTAAAAGACTCGATTCTTTGGATTCATAGTCTTCCTTGTATAATAGGAATAACTATTTGCTTTGAGATTGAATTGAACTCCAATTACTTTAGTAATATTTCTGAATGTTGTCCTTTCCATTTTTATTGAGTAGTTCAGCACAATAGAAAGTTGAGTTCTCAGGGTAGGCAGTGATACCAGTCTTTTTATACTGAAAGTCATGTATCGATTCAAAAATTGAGTCAAATCTGTAGATCGAGAGCTCAGTAAACTCCAAACTTTCCTCCAATATATCTAGTTGTGGGAAATTATTGATCAGGTATTTCTGAAGATCCTATAGTTTGAAATTCTAATCTAGTTTAAGTTAGATTCTCATTGGTTTTTCTAAATTAAGTATCTGGAAAGTATTTTCAAATACTTCGAAATTCATTGACTGCTTACGAGTTCTCTCTAACTTATCTCTAAATAATTCCTAGTGATCTTTCTAATCTCTAAGAATCCTTTTTATTTCCTAAGGTAACAGCATTACTATCAATGTAACGTTAATTAGACTAGACTCTGGTAGTGGTAGTGGCAATATTGAATACTAGTCAAATGAAATTCTGGAATGCTAGCATTTAATACATTTATAGCTGTACTTTAACTACCCAAAAAAAAGGAAAGCTATAAAACTCCAGTTTCTTCTTAGGAAATTGCTCCAATACTCATAGGCAAGTTCATCTAGGTCTCAGTTGTCTGACTCAGGGTTCTAAATGTAGGGAATTTACAGTCTGAGGTTTAACTCAGTATTAAGTGAGTCTAATATTGAGCCTAAGAATTCTTATGCGTCCTATTGTCTCATACCTCAGAATTACTATTAATAGCCACTAAATACTGATTTGAATTTTCTTGGTTCATTGATGCAAACTATCTATGAAGACCATAATGATTATACTAGTTATGCAAAAGCTTTAACAATATTTCCTCCATACCCCATATTATTGAATGTATTAATATGTTTCCTATAGTCATGATACTTGCTGTAGTCCTTAGTAGGCGGATAAAAAATATCTTGGCAGAAATATTCTTAGAAGAATGGACTATTTGCTAGGCATTGTATCACTGAGTTCAAATAGCATGAATTCCCTAGATTCATACATCCCACTGTTTTTAACTTAGAGTTATTCTTTTGATTTTTATTCATTTGTCTAAGGTCTGTCGGCCATATGTCATTTTCAAGTTTCCTTTCAATGTAAAACTTCATACCATCCATCATGAAGGGGAAATCCTCCAATTTCTTAATCAAGTCCTAATCAGTGAAATGATAGTCTTGTTTCTGCCAAATCCTGATATCTTAGAGATTTTTAAAGCCAAACTTAGCACAGATCTTTTCCTTAAGGTCTACCATTATAATAAACTTGCTAACGTATAAATCGTATAGGTAAATGGGTTTATCTCCATTTTCCTCTAATAATCCAAATCTTATATAGATCTCGTCAAGCTCTAAGCTTAAAACTACAGCGTCCAGCTTAGTATATAAGTCATTGCCTTGCAGCTAATCCTCAGGTGTATTAGAGTATTAGGGACAACTCTTCACTTCTCGTTGAATTAGTCTTTCACAGCCATACCATTTCTTAAATGCAATCATAACCCTTTAAGGAATCACAACAATATTCTGATCTAGAATCAGTGGCTTGAGTTAGTTTGAGCCAGTTTCAAATAGAGGCTCACAATCTAGAGTCAGACTATTAGATGTAGGCTAATATTTTCCTAAGATTTAAAATGAAATATATTACTAGCGTTACTTGCTTAATCTTGCCATTAAGTCCAGAATTTCTTTGGAATTATATAATACTTGTCACCTTTTTACATATATGTCATTGCATACATTTTCAAATTCAGTTCGCCTTTTAGAATTGTTTCAATAATCTCGCTTTCTTGATAATTTAATTTAGGTCTTAGACCCAGCTCGACATATAAAATAGTTCTTAATACTTTAAATTGCTGGCAAAAGTTGCTGAAAATAATTAAGCAATATGAATTCTTACAACATATCTTAGTATAAGGCCATTAGTTTTTAAAAATCAAATCTATCCATTTACTTTAATCTTGAGTAAGCTTAATTAGTAGCTATTTGAATATTAGTATATCTTTAATTTTACCTTCTTAAGAAGTGTTTTTCCAAAAAGCAGTAAATACATCCTCAAGCTGCTCTTTATAGATCATTCCACTCACAGAAAATTTAGAAAACAAATCATAAATGAAATCAATTAATTCTTTAACTTCCTTAACTTTAAGAATCTTCCACATTATCTTCATATATACATTCTTATCATAAAATTTCTATTGCTTATTAAACTCTCATATATATTCATACCTCATTAGAGCCATAGAGAAAACTCTCAATAATTCTGTTGCGAAGTTTGAAATGAATATCTCTTAAGTCAAATAACTATTCTAAGACTTGCTATGACTTTTTGATGTCTCGATTGTTTAAGATATTTTGATCGAAATACCTACTAAGCACCTGATACTCTTCTTCACTAAATTCAGTTGGAATTGGAGTCTCTGTAAATTTTTCAGAAGTTTGCTTAGCATTTTCTAAACCTCTAAAATCACATTAGATCACGTCAATCCAGTTGAAAATAAACATCGTCTGCTTCATTAACTCATATGCCTTGATAAAATTTTCTAAAATTCATGAACATTAAAATTAAAAGCATACATAGATCTAATTCTACTCTTCTTTAGTGACTATTGTTAATAAATGTGGTTAATGTCTATTCCACAGGTATTGAAAACTACCTAAATCCAAATTAGCTGATAATAAAAGGATTTATGCGTTTTTCATCTTGCTGATCAATTTATAGATAATTGTTCTCAATTCCCCATTTATAAATCAAGTTGAACAAAAATTCTGCTTTTTCCTTATCACCTGCTGTTTTCAAGAATGCATTCGCAATCAGAAACTCATCATAAGTCATACTCGGACTCTACTACTCTAATGCGAACTCTTAAAAGATCAAGCGTGTCAATCTGTATTTCCAATCTCTAGTGGCAGTTGCATTCAAGTCATTGTCTGACCGCAAATTCCGATCAAAATTTCTAGTCATCCCCTCGAATAGCTGATAATGAAACTCTGTGCATCTAATTGTATTGCTATTGCTGCTTAGTTTATTGAATAGAATTTTGAGTCTATGAAGATCATTCAAAAGTATTTTGTTTGCTTCATCTATTGTAAGAATATATTGCAAGCTTTATCCTCCGCCCATTAGATTAAATTATTTATAAAATTGCTAACTCGAATTCTAATAAAAGTGATTAATATAATTAATCTTTGTTCAGTAATTTACGTATATTTATAGAAAGAAAAAGGACTTAAATCTACTACAGACACTCTTTAAAAAAGCTCATCTACACTTACAGATTCAATGATTATTGTTAGTTAGATTAGGTTTATTTACTAAGATTTAATTAATATACATTATTCAACCAAGCTGACACATCATTCATAGCTGTAAGCGGCTTTATTATGGATGATAAGTCTTCCCTCATGGAAGAAGAAACTATCGGACTTGACTTCCCAGGGATTCTCAATCATTTCTTTCTTCTCCTCCTCAGTTAGGTTTGGAAGGTCATAAATGAATTCACAGTCATTTTTACTCTTTGGCATGCAGAAGGGGAACTTGAATTCAAAGTTGATTAGCAAACGATCTCTAAAGTAGTGTCTTTCAATAAGTAGCAAATCTTTAATTGGTTCCTCGCATACAATGTTGAATTCTAGTCTTAAACTAAGAGTCTTAAGTTCTAGGAACTGTGGACCGAATCTGTACATCACAGTTCTTGACTCAATTGTTGACTGGCCATCAATTTCTCTTTAGACAGCTTCCTGATGAGCATAAGTTTGAAGATCCTCCCCAATTTCAACTAGAACAGTCTTTGACTCGTAATCCTTGATAATGTAATGCCCGAATGTCAGAAACTTATTGTCTTGCAGTTTGCAGAATAGCTTATCGCTTGCTCTTCCCATTGATCTGACTTATTCGATAGTCACTGGTTCGCTTGAATAAATATAAGCATCAGCACCTGAAATGTTTAACTAGTCTAAATTACTTAAGGATTCGACCATGATTTTTTGAAAACTTTAAAAATATTTAAAATTCAATAACTAATCAAAATTATATCTTTCCATTACCCTGAGTTGTGATGATTCATAATTGATGGGGTTTTGGGGTTTTGGGGTTTTGGGGTTTTGGGG